GACAACATTCACATTGTGATGGAGCTCTGCAAGGGCGGCGACCTCTTTGACCGCATCAAGCTGCGCGGCCGCATGCCTGAGCCCGCTGCTGCTGCCATCTGCAAGGCGCTGGTGGGCGTGCTGCTGCACTGCCATGCACGGGGCGTGCTGCACATGGACGTGAAGCCCGAGAACGTGCTCATGTGCGACCGCTCTGACGACACCCACATGAAGCTCATTGACTTTGGCGTGGCCACGCGGTTCACTGCAGGCGTGGCGTGCCGGGAGGTGCTGGGCACGCCTGAGTACATCGCCCCGGAGGTGCTCAAGGGTGCGTACGGCCCGCCCGCTGACCTCTGGAGTGCTGGCGTGGTGCTCTATGTCATGCTGGCCGGGGCGCCTCCCTTCTGGGAGCGCGCAAGTAAGACGCTCAAGGAGTCCATTCTGGGGGATGACGTGCCCTTCACCCAAAGCAAGTGGGGCGACCGGTCGGCAGAGTGCAAGGAGCTTATAAGGAGGATGCTTGACAAGGATCCGGCCACGAGGATAACTGGCAAGGAGATTCTTGGTGAGTGATTTTGGTCTGGGAAAGGCCTGGCTCTATACGTTCTCACCTCCAGACCACGCTCGCTTCCCCCCCCCTTCCTTACCCCGCCCTCAGTCTATCTCTCATTCAAACGCTCCCTCCTGCACTGTCGTGGTGGTGTTTGAAAACACAGCGATGAAACTCACTGTCCTCCTTCACCACCCTCTCCTCACCACATCACCTTCCACGCTCACACCCCTGCATACCCTAACCCGCAACCTGCCCATCTCCCCCTCATGTCCACCCGTGCAGAGCACCCATGGATCAAGATGCACACAGATGCCAGTTGAAGCCCGTAGTCCTCATCATGGCACATGGGGAGGAATTAAATCATAGGTAACTCCACTGTAGGGTAGAGGAAAGATACTACCGTGGGTGGCACAGATGCTGCCGCTTAGGGCCAGATCGTTCGTATCATGAAAGTGAAGCAGCAATTGATTCTTATCGAAGATAAGGTCTTATATATTTGAAGACCAGATAGTGGAGTTCTTTTGTAGGCCAGCTTCTGGTATTGTAGGTACACGCTGGAGCGAGGTTGCGTGAAGGTGACGAAGTGGCCTTGCCAAGCCTAACATATGCCTTGGCATGTAGGCGAAACTAATCACCAGGTTCGGCAATCCGTGATCTGAACCGAAGACCTTGCCATACGTGAAGGCATTGACCCATACCATTGTGGGCCGTATGGCATCTTTTTGCCACATTCATCCACGGTGCCGCTGATACCAAGCATCTTTGGGATTCGAGCCTTGGGAGTTCACTCTTGGCCTTCCCTCATTTTCACACTCGTGTCTTCCAAGATCTGCCTCCGCGACCCAGATCACATAATCAGTGTTCCAACAGGGGAACCACGCATCTCGAAGATGGGCACGGGACTGACGCTCTACGGCCACGTGCACTCGCCGTTCGTGCGTCGCGTGCTGCTGACGCTCTATGAGATGGGCGTCGAGGTGAGCGCCATGGCCACATGCGCGTCGAGGCGCGATGGGAATTCCTGATCGTGGTATCTGTCCAGGCATGTCGATTTGTCGACTTCGTTGCTCCGCTACGGACTGTCGTCATGCTGGTTTCTGTATTCGTGAGTGCGCGGCGGCATTCATCCATCATGCTTGCCATGCCTCGCCAGCAGTCCGAGTCACGCAACCGTGTCTCCCCCCCTTCCCCCCGGCAGGATTTCGAGATGAAGGTGGTGAACACGAGCAAGGGCGACAACAAGACGCCCGAGTTCCTCGCCATGAACGTGCGTGAGTGGAGCACATGGAAGCATCTCGTAGCGGGGATAGGGGATGGGTGTGATGCGTCGCGGCGGATACGGACACTCTATGTCTGCAGTAACGGATGTCAATGATGCATTACGGATGGAGAGGATTGTTATTGAGAGTCGAAGGCGCGTAAGCAGCATTCGGAGTGGTGTCCCATTCGGTGCGAAGGTGTAGTGTAGTGCTGTGTCATGGCATGGCGTTAGTTGCGAATGTTAATTGGTGCAGTCGTGTTCGTGCACACCCTCTCATCCGTCTCACTCTCGCTCTCCGCATCTCCCCCTGCTCCTCCCCTTGGCTCGTGCTGCCAGCCGTTCGGCAAGATGCCAGTGCTGGACGACAACGGCCGCTACCTCTATGGTCAGTGCAAGGGCTGCCCGCCTCTTCTTACCGCTCTGCTCTCACACGTCTGCCAACTGTGTCAATGTTTCATATTTTATCGCCTCTGTTTTCCCATGTGCCAGCATCTGAGCGGTTTGCTATGCAAGGTCAGTCATTCTCTACGGTCGCTAACCAACCTTCGCACCACCCCTCGTTTGCCCTTACAATCGCGCTGTTACTCGAATGCTTGATCAAGATGCTGTGAATGGGTGTGCTGTTGTTCGGCGAAGGGCAGACGTGAAAGTTGGAAGGAAGTAGAGCGCAGAGCCGTCACATAAATGCATGGCGTGCTGTCTCCACTCACACACGCATCTGCGCCTTCACTCCCCATCACTGCGTGCTGTGCGTGCTGTGCGTGCTGTGCGTGCGTGTGTCCCTCCATCCCCCCCCAGAGTCGCGCGCCATCATGCGGTACATAGCGGAGAAGTACGCGGAGGGGCGCCCGAACCTGGTGGGGGCGGACGTGTGGGAGCGCGCGGAGGTGAGCCAGTGGACGGACGTGGAGGCGCACAGCGTGACAGAGCAGGTGGCCGTGGTGGTGGAGGAGAACTTCCTCAAACGCCTCATGGGCAAGGGCGAGCCCGACAAGGCGCGCGCTGATGCAGCCATTGAGAAGGTGAGAGATGGGATGGCGGTGGGAGCATGGCTCAGATGGGGAGAGGATGGGGTATGAGGTGGGGCGATGGGGAGGATTAGAGGCTTGGGAGGAGAGCTGGGGCTGGGGCTGGGGCTGGTGAGGCTTGGGTGTTGGTGCTGTGCGAGCTGCCCTCCCCCTCACACACCTCATAACCACTCTAATGCCCTCTCAACCCCCTCGCCTGCCCGTGCTCGCCCTGGCAGCTGGGGCGGCTGTTTGACATCTACGAGAAGCACCTGGAGGGGCGCCAGTACCTGGTGGGCGGGCGCTGCACGCTAGCGGACCTCACGCACCTGCCGTACACTGAGATCCTCTTCCATGCCGGCGCCGGTGACCTCATCACGTCGCGCCCCAACGTGGCGCAGTGGTGGGAGCGCATCTCGTCCCGCCCCGCGTGGAAGAAGGTGCAGCAGCTCGAGCCCATCCCCGCCTGATGCCGTGCGCTGCTCATTCTCCTCGTCCACACTCTGGGCTGCACACATGTCCTCGTCCTCTCATCCCTCCCTCGTGCTCCCCATACACGGCATAGGCTGCGCAGTATTCACAGTGGATGTCCATACTGCTGACAGGCATACTTATGGGACAAAGTGATGGTTCGATTGGATACTAAAAGCTTCATCTGAGGGTCCAAGTTTCTCATCGGAGGGTCAGAAAATTCTAGAATTTGACAGCAGAGCAGATGCAGTCACCATACCTGCTGGACTACCGTAATACCCCGGATATAAGCGCACCTGCGCTTATAATAAAACAGTGTTTTTTGGGGGGGTGCGCTTATAATTGAGTCAGATTTACAAGCGCATGCGCTTATATAATAACAAATGCAAATTTATAATTCATTGGCACCAAACTGTACATCTCCTTCTTGTGATTTCAATCGAATCGAAGTGGTAGCGAGTCGCAATTCAGATTCGCGCGTGAGCGATTTTCTGCCGGCACACAGGGGAAAATTTACACGTCACTATCAGAAATGCCAGCTCATACTGACTGGACGTGCAGTATGTGAGGTCCTCGAAAGTCAATCGAAGCGAAAATAGTTGTATCCTCACTGCAAAATATGAAATCGCTACCGTTTTAATCTGGTTTAAATTTTATAATTATACGTGCGCTTATAATAAATCAAGGTTTTACAGGGGGTGCGCTTATAAATGAGGATCGGCCATAAGCGCATTGCTCCAGATACAAGCGCATGCGCTTATAATAGGCCTGCGCTTATATCCGGGGCCATACGGTATTAGGAATTTCCAAGAAGCTACCTAGTGACGTCCAGTGCTTAGGGCGGGTCCAACTTTGCACACTCCCGTTTTTTTCGTTATTTTTACGTCAATGCTCTAGTCATACTTGACTGTACCCCAGTGTGCGAAGTCCAAACATTTCCTGTCCAGTTCCGACTGCACAATTCGGACTTTTGACAAGGTACAGTAACGCTGCGGGTTACAGTACCTGGAATGAGGGGTTACCCAATAAAGCGAGGTTTTTTGCACCTGTGACAGAGGGGGGATTCATTGGTGAAAACAAATTAGCGAAACAAGGTGTTACCTTCTGGGGTGTTTGACGCGAAACGAGTTTGACGTGAACCTTCGGACGTGTTCTGCGTCCCCGGGCACGTTTTCGAAATGTCATCATATATGTACAGTCTCGCGTCAAATGGATTCTGGTACGTTTGTAGTTCTGTTACATGCCGAAATGTGGTAACTGAGCTGAAAATTTATTGTACATGTGCAAAGTTGGACCCGCCCTTATGTTCCGTTTCTTGTTCGTTTTGTTGTTGCATCCTGACGCAAAACAGTGAATCTCAGTAACTGCTTTCCACCGCGGGGAACCATCATGAGCCATGAAGCCTGAATGGTAAACGCATTCACTGGACACCCCCCTGGACTTGTCTTACGTACACTTGGTAGATTTCACTCTGTGGAAACAAGGCTTGATGCCAAAAAGGAAGGGGAGGCAAGGGGAGCCTGGGTACGAAGACCTTCCAGAGCTTTCCCCAACCGTGATTCGTCGCCGCACGCAGGAAGGTACCGCACGCATGGTGGTGCACGCAGGTGCGTGTGGCATGTGCGGCCTGTGGAGCAGGGCACCTTCACAGGGGAGAGCACAGCAGGCGGGGAAAAGGCTGTTCGACGACCAATCCACCACGGCCGTGGCTGGCAGTGCTGCACGCCTACAGCAGCAGGCGCCTGTTTGGGCGGTGCCTTGCCACCACCCCCTCTTGGCTTGGCCTGCCCTTCCCACTCTCCATCTCCTCCTGCCCACCTGCCACGCCCCCCTCATTGCTCGTCTGCACATCATCCATCACCCACGCAGCTGCCACTCCCACCTCGCCTCCTGTGTGGAAGCTTCCTGCTTGCAGCTCCCCTTGCACCCATACCTGCCTGCCCCCCTGCTCCTCGCCCTCCTGCTGCCCACCCCCTTGCTGCCCTAGGCCAATCTTTCTCGGCTGCTGATCCGCCTGCACTGCCTCTGCACGCACACACTCACGCCCTTCCCTCTTCACCACTCCGCACCACCATCTCCATCCCCGCCTCGCCTCCGCTCTCCTCGCCCCCTTCACTCCCTCCCACCTCATCCCTCTCTAACTCACTCCTCCCCCTTCTTCGCCCCCTCCCCACTGCAGCACTGCCTCTCCTCCCCCCGCCAACCGGCCCTTGAATTCGACCCACACCCGTGTCCCCACCCCTCTCACCCCCACCGCTGTGCCCTCGCCTCCTCCCCTTGCCACTGCCACGCTCCCGGCTCTTCCGCTCCGCCCCTTGCTGCTCCACACCACGGCTCCGCGCTGAGCAGGCACTACAGGCGGCCGTGCCACTCGCACTGCCGCGCTGACTGCGTTGTGCCATGACCCGCCTGCTGCGCCGCACGCCCATGCCTGCTGCACTGCACTGCACACACACCCTGCCATCAGCAGTGTCTTCCACGGCAGCAGCAGCCGCATCCACGACTGCTGCTACCTCTCCCGCAGCACTCACCACTCCAGCTGATGCCGTATCTCCACATGACTCACCACCTCTTCCGCCTCTCCCTGCACCCCCCTCATCTACCCCGCCACCCCCCTCTGCATCACCAGGGGAGCGTGTGGCCGGGCTGCTAGACTCACCCTGTGAGCGCCGCCTGCCAGTGCGGCGGCGCTGAGCGCTCACCATCACACCACCACCGCCGCCACCACCACCCGCCTTGCCCTCCACCGCATCACTGCCCCCACCATCACTCACCTTACCCCCAGCTCCCCTGCCCACCCCCCCAGCGCCCCCAGCCGCGCGCATGCTGTGGCCCGTGATGGCAGGGTAGCGCGATGAGGGCAGGTGCGCCATGGGGCCAAACACCCGCTCGTACTCGCCCCATATGTCCCACCTGCCATGCCGCCCCCCCACCGCGACAGCAGCGGAGCAGCGCACAGCAGAGCGAGTGGAGCACGGCGACATGAGCAGAGCACGGCAGGGACATGCAGGGAGTGGTGTGAGCAGGGGCAAGTGAAAGTGAGGGAGTGTGAGGCGCTTGAGAGTAAGCAGTGGGTTCGCACCCGGCAGGGTGGAGCCACGTGTCACACATGCGCTCTGCCTGCCATGGACTTTCAAACAAGCGATATGCACAACACACGTGTGAGGCATGGTGTGAGGCATGGTGTGAGCCTGAGGCATGGTCTAAAGAATCAAGGAGAGGCATGAGGGCACATCATGTGGGCATGGCACAGGGCACATCATGTGGGCATGGCACAGGGCACATCATGTGGGCATGGCACAGGGCACATCATGTGGGCATGGCACAGGGCACATCATGTGGGCATGGCACAGGGCACATCATGTGGGCATGGCACAGGGCACATCATGTGGGCATGGCACAGGGCACATCATGTGGGCATGGCACAGGGCACATCATGTGGGCATGGCACAGGGCACATCATGTGGGCATGGCACAGGGCACATCATGTGGGCATGGCACAGGGCACATCATGTGGCCATGGCACAGGGCACATCATGTGGGCATGGCACAGGGCACATCATGTGGCCATGGCACAGGGCACATCATGTGGGCATGGCACAGGGCACATCATGTGGGCATGGCACAGGGCACATCATGTGGGCATGGCACAGGGCACATCATGTGGGCATGGCACAGGGCACATCATGTGGGCATGGCACAGGGCAGCTTACCAGTAGGCGAGGAACTGGAAGGGCGCGTGGGCGGCGTACGCTCGTGCTGCCAGTGCATCCACCGTGCCAGCCGTGCACCCCGCATGCCCCCTCGCCTGCACCAGGGGGACGGGCAGCGTGCCACACGTGCTGTGGTGACATGCGCTGTGATGTAGCGTTTATAATATAAAGAATGGACTTTCTGAGGATGGTTTATTGCTGTGCGCCTTGCGGCTTGATTGCATACTGCACTGTTCGAGTGCACAGCATTCTCCAAGTCATGAGTCACACTGCACCACCCTGGCTTCAAGAGTGCTTGCCTTGCCACAATGCAGGGCGGCACAGACCTTGGCAGGCGGCACGCACCTTGAGGTGGCGGATGGTTTCGGAGTCAGCGGGCACGAAGCAGAAGACGCCCATGCACTGCAGCACGTTGGCCGATGAGAATGGCCCTAACCCCGGCAAGCGCTGCACCCTCTGCCTCACCGCCTCCTCCCACCCCACCTCCTCTTCCTTGTCCGTCGCACTCCCCGCCCTCCCCCGCCTGTCTGCTTGCCTCCTGCCCTTGATGGCGGTGTGAGTCAATGGCGCAGTGCCATGGCAGGGCCCCCCCTTGCGAGCTGCAGCGCTGCTGTCCTCACGTGCCACAAGCGTCTGCGCCTCCTCTGCTGCCTCCACTCCGTTCAACTCACGCCCATCGTCCTCCAATTTCCTCCTCCTCTTCCTCCTGCCAGCCCCTCTCCTCGCATCCACTCCCACATCGTCTGCCCCTCTCATCTCCACTCCTTTGTCTGCCTGCTCGCCGCCCTCCCCGCCTCCCACACCCGCCTGCCCTGCCATCTCCCTCTCCGCACCTACTGCTGCCATGTCACAGCCGCTTGGCGGATTCTCCAGCAGGCAGTCCCTCTGGAGTGCTTCCAGGTCAATGGTACCAGATGCCACGTCAGCTGCCAGCTTGGCAATCCGTGGGCCTCGGTACCCCAGCCCGCACCTGCTGGTTAGGTATGGTATCTCCAAGCGCGCGAGCTCGTGAGGCTCGGGAAAAGCGCCAACACAGTCAGGCGAATCTGCAAATGGGAGGAGGAAAAACAGCGGTTATGGCAGGAGACAGAGAGAGAGCAGGTAGGGGTGAGGCAGCAGCGAGGCAATGCGTGTGCTTGGTAGCAAGTGAGCAGTGAAGTGTGGTTGGCGTGACGGCAGCCCACTGGGTCGCTCCTCAGAGGAGGTCGCTCATCGCCTCGTCTCCCCCCACCTCCACCGCACCTCTCCGGCACCGCATGCTCCGTGCCGTGGCACATCTTGCCCCCACCTTAACGTTTCGGGTGGAGTGGAGCCGTGTCGTGCCAGCACACACGCCTGGCCGGCCTGCACTGGGACAGAGGCCAGCGGTGCAGACAGGAGGACATGGAGGGCTCACCGCGTGCACCGATGGGAGGGCCGAAGTGGTGGCGGTGCAAGAGGCAGAGCGCACGTGCCATGGCCAGACTCCTGCCCCACCCACCTGCACACCACACTCAGCACCGCACAGCACAGCACAGCACAGCACAGCACAGCACAGCACAGCACAGCACAGCACAGCACAGCACAGCACGGCACAGCACAGCACAGCACAGCACGGCACGGCACATCACAGCACAGTACAGCACGACACGGCACGGCACGGCACCGCATGGCACCGCACAACACAGCACAGCACAGCACAGCACAGCACAGCATGGAAGCCGGGCGGTGTGAGGGGCGGTGATGTGAAGGGCGGGGGCCTTGGTAGGTGGAGAAAGAGACAGAAGAGGAAGGACGGGGGAAAGGACCCACGGGGAAGAAGAGCAGAGAGTATGGGACGCCAAACCCGCAGACCTTGCAGAGACATGGGTGGCGTTGGGCTCACAGTTGCACAGCAGCTGCGCCTTCACACACAGTTGCACAGCAGCTGCGCCTTCACTTACAGTTGCACAGCAGCTGCGCCTTGACTCACAGTTGCACAGCAGCTGCGCCTTGACTCACAGTTGCACAGCAGCTGCGCCTTGACTCACAGTTGCACAGCAGCTGCGCCTTCACTCACAGTTGCACAGCAGCTGCGCCTTCACTTACAGTTGCACAGCAGCTGCGCCTTCACTCACAGTTGCACAGCAGCTGCGCCTTGACTCACAGTTGCACAGCAGCTGCGCCTTCACTCACAGTTGCACAGCACCTGCGCCTTCACTCACAGTTGCACAGCAGCTGCGCCTTCACTCACAGTTGCACAGCAGCTGCGCCTTGACTCACAGTTGCACAGCAGCTGCGCCTTCACTCACAGTTGCACAGCAGCTGCGCCTTGACTCACAGTTGCACAGCAGCTGCGCCTTCACTCACAGTTGCACAGCAGCTGCGCCTTCACTCACAGTTGCACAGCAGCTGCGCCTTGACTCACAGTTGCACAGCAGCTGCGCCTTGACTCACAGTTGCACAGCAGCTGCGCCTTGACTCACAGTTGCACAGCAGCTGCGCCTTCACTCACAGTTGCACAGCAGCTGCGCCTTGACTCACAGTTGCACAGCAGCTGCGCCTTCACTCACAGTTGCACAGCAGCTGCGCCTTCACTTACAGTTGCACAGCACCTGCGCCTTGACTCACAGTTGCACAGCAGCTGCGCCTTGACTCACAGTTGCACAGCAGCTGCGCCTTGACTCACAGTTGCACAGCAGCTGCGCCTTGACTCACAGTTGCACAGCAGCTGCGCCTTGACTCACAGTTGCACAGCAGCTGCGCCTTCACTCACAGTTGCACAGCAGCTGCGCCTTGACTCACAGTTGCACAGCAGCTGCGCCTTCACTCACAGTTGCACAGCAGCTGCGCCTTCACTTACAGTTGCACAGCACCTGCGCCTTGACTCACAGTTGCACAGCAGCTGCGCCTTGACTCACAGTTGCACAGCAGCTGCGCCTTGACTCACAGTTGCACAGCAGCTGCGCCTTCACTCACAGTTGCACAGCAGCTGCGCCTTCACTCACAGTTGCACAGCAGCTGCGCCTTGACTCACAGTTACACAGCAGCTGCGCCTTCACTCACAGTTGCACAGCAGCTGCGCCTTGACTCACAGTTGCACAGCAGCTGCGCCTTCACTCACAGTTGCACAGCAGCTGCGCCTTCACTTACAGTTGCACAGCACCTGCGCCTTGACTCACAGTTGCACAGCAGCTGCGCCTTCACTCACAGTTGCACAGCAGCTGCGCCTTGACTCACAGTTGCACAGCAGCTGCGCCTTGACTCACAGTTGCACAACAGCTGCGCCTTGACTCACAGTTGCACAGCAGCTGCGCCTTCACTCACAGTTGCACAGCAGCTGCGCCTTGACTCACAGTTGCACAGCAGCTGCGCCTTCACTCACAGTTGCACAGCAGCTGCGCCTTCACTTACAGTTGCACAGCACCTGCGCCTTGATTCACAGTTGCACAGCAGCTGCGCCTTGACTCACAGTTGCACAGCAGCTGCGCCTTGACTCACAGTTGCACAGCAGCTGCGCCTTGACTCACAGTTGCACAGCAGCTGCGCCTTCACTCACAGTTGCACAGCAGCTGCGCCTTGACTCACAGTTGCACAGCAGCTGCGCCTTCACTCACAGTTGCACAGCAGCTGCGCCTTCACTTACAGTTGCACAGCACCTGCGCCTTGACTCACAGTTGCACAGCAGCTGCGCCTTGACTCACAGTTGCACAGCAGCTGCGCCTTGACTCACAGTTGCACAGCAGCTGCGCCTTCACTCACAGTTGCACAGCAGCTGCGCCTTCACTCACAGTTGCACAGCAGCTGCGCCTTCACTTACAGTTGCACAGCACCTGCGCCTTGACTCACAGTTGCACAGCAGCTGCGCCTTGACTCACAGTTGCACAGCAGCTGCGCCTTCACTCACAGTTGCAGAGCAGCTGCGCCTTCACTCACAGTTGCACAGCAGCTGCGCCTTGACTCACAGTTGCACAGCAGCTGCGCCTTCACTCACAGTTGCACAGCAGCTGCGCCTTCACTTACAGTTGCACAGCACCTGCGCCTTGACTCACAGTTGCACAGCAGCTGCGCCTTGACTCACAGTTGCACAGCAGCTGCGCCTTGACTCACAGTTGCACAGCAGCTGCGCCTTGACTCACAGTTGCACAGCAGCTGCGCCTTCACTTACAGTTGCACAGCACCTGCGCCTTGACTCACAGTTGCACAGCAGCTGCGCCTTCACTCACAGTTGCACAGCAGCTGCGCCTTCACTCACAGTTGCACAGCAGCTGCGCCTTGACTAACAGTTGCATAGCAGCTGCGCCTTGACTCACAGTTGCACAACAGCTGCGCCTTCACTCACAGTTGCACAGCAGCTGCGCCTTGACTCACAGTTGCACAGCAGCTGCGCCTTCACTCACAGTTGCACAGCAGCTGCGCCTTCACTTACAGTTGCACAGCACCTGCGCCTTGACTCACAGTTGCACAGCAGCTGCGCCTTGACTCACAGTTGCACAGCAGCTGCGCCTTGACTCACAGTTGCACAGCAGCTGCGCCTTGACTCACAGTTGCACAGCAGCTGCGCCTTCACTCACAGTTGCACAGCAGCTGCGCCTTGACTCACAGTTGCACAGCAGCTGCGCCTTCACTCACAGTTGCACAGCAGCTGCGCCTTCACTTACAGTTGCACAGCACCTGCGCCTTGACTCACAGTTGCACAGCAGCTGCGCCTTGACTCACAGTTGCACAGCAGCTGCGCCTTGACTCACAGTTGCACAGCAGCTGCGCCTTCACTCACAGTTGCACAGCAGCTGCGCCTTCACTCACAGTTGCACAGCAGCTGCGCCTTCACTTACAGTTGCACAGCACCTGCGCCTTGACTCACAGTTGCACAGCAGCTGCGCCTTGACTCACAGTTGCACAGCAGCTGCGCCTTCACTCACAGTTGCACAGCAGCTGCGCCTTGACTCACAGTTGCACAGCAGCTGCGCCTTCACTCACAGTTGCACAGCAGCTGCGCCTTCACTTACAGTTGCACAGCACCTGCGCCTTGACTCACAGTTGCACAGCAGCTGCGCCTTGACTCACAGTTGCACAGCAGCTGCGCCTTGACTCACAGTTGCACAGCAGCTGCGCCTTCACTCACAGTTGCACAGCAGCTGCGCCTTCACTTACAGTTGCACAGCAGCTGCGCCTTGACTCACAGTTGCACAGCAGCTGCGCCTTCACTCACAGTTGCACAGCAGCTGCGCCTTCACTTACAGTTGCACAGCACCTGCGCCTTCACTCACAGTTGCACAGCACCTGCGCCTTCACTCACAGTTGCACAGCAGCTGCGCCTTCACTCACAGTTGCACAGCAGCTGCGCCTTCACTCACAGTTGCACAGCAGCTGCGCCTTGACTCACAGTTGCACAGCAGCTGCGCCTTCACTTACAGTTGCACAGCACCTGCGCCTTGACTCACAGTTGCACAGCAGCTGCGCCTTCACTCACAGTTGCACAGCAGCTGCGCCTTGACTCACAGTTGCACAGCAGCTGCGCCTTCACTCACAGTTGCACAGCAGCTGCGCCTTCACTCACAGTTGCACAGCAGCTGCGCCTTGACTCACAGTTGCACAGCAGCTGCGCCTTGACTCACAGTTGCACAGCAGCTGCGCCTTGACTCACAGTTGCACAGCAGCTGCGCCTTCACTCACAGTTGCACAGCAGCTGCGCCTTGACTCACAGTTGCACAGCAGCTGCGCCTTCACTCACAGTTGCACAGCAGCTGCGCCTTCACTTACAGTTGCACAGCACCTGCGCCTTGACTCACAGTTGCACAGCAGCTGCGCCTTGACTCACAGTTGCACAGCAGCTGCGCCTTGACTCACAGTTGCACAGCAGCTGCGCCTTGACTCACAGTTGCACAGCAGCTGCGCCTTGACTCACAGTTGCACAGCAGCTGCGCCTTCACTCACAGTTGCACAGCAGCTGCGCCTTGACTCACAGTTGCACAGCAGCTGCGCCTTCACTCACAGTTGCACAGCAGCTGCGCCTTCACTTACAGTTGCACAGCACCTGCGCCTTGACTCACAGTTGCACAGCAGCTGCGCCTTGACTCACAGTTGCACAGCAGCTGCGCCTTGACTCACAGTTGCACAGCAGCTGCGCCTTCACTCACAGTTGCACAGCAGCTGCGCCTTCACTCACAGTTGCACAGCAGCTGCGCCTTCACTTACAGTTGCACAGCACCTGCGCCTTGACTCACAGTTGCACAGCAGCTGCGCCTTGACTCACAGTTGCACAGCAGCTGCGCCTTCACTCACAGTTGCACAGCAGCTGCGCCTTGACTCACAGTTGCACAGCAGCTGCGCCTTCACTCACAGTTGCACAGCAGCTGCGCCTTCACTTACAGTTGCACAGCACCTGCGCCTTGACTCACAGTTGCACAGCAGCTGCGCCTTGACTCACAGTTGCACAGCAGCTGCGCCTTGACTCACAGTTGCACAGCAGCTGCGCCTTGACTCACAGTTGCACAGCAGCTGCGCCTTCACTCACAGTTGCACAGCAGCTGCGCCTTGACTCACAGTTGCACAGCAGCTGCGCCTTCACTCACAGTTGCACAGCAGCTGCGCCTTCACTTACAGTTGCACAGCACCTGCGCCTTGACTCACAGTTGCACAGCAGCTGCGCCTTGACTCACAGTTGCACAGCAGCTGCGCCTTGACTCACAGTTGCACAGCAGCTGCGCCTTCACTCACAGTTGCACAGCAGCTGCGCCTTCACTCACAGTTGCACAGCAGCTGCGCCTTCACTTACAGTTGCACAGCACCTGCGCCTTGACTCACAGTTGCACAGCAGCTGCGCCTTGACTCACAGTTGCACAGCAGCTGCGCCTTCACTCACAGTTGCACAGCAGCTGCGCCTTG